TGTGGGGTTTGAATGAGAATTGCTCCCCTCCCACTCATATATTTGAATGAACTGTTTGGGAAGTATTAGGAGGTATAGCCTTGTTAGATCAGATGTGGCCTTGTTGGAAGAGGTGTGTGACTGGGAGTAGGCTTTGAGGTTTCAAAAGCCCACAGGAGGCCCAGTCTTATTCTCTCTACAACTTGTAGATCAGCTACTGCTCCTGTGTCATTCCTCCCTGTCATGATATTCATGGACTAAACCTCTGAAACTGTAAGCAAACCTCCAATTAAAGACTTTTCCTTTGTAAGTAGTCTTAGTCATGGTATCTCTTCATAGAAATAGAACATAGGTTAAAAAAAGAAACACAGGAGCCAGGCTGGTGGTGCACACCTTTGATCCTAGCATTGGGGAGGCAAAGAAAGGGGGATTTCTGTGAGTTCAAGGCCAGCCTGATCTACGTAGTGAGTTTCAGATCAGCCAAGGCTTCATAGTGAGAACCTGTCTCAAAAACAAAACAAAAATGAAGCAAAACAAAGAAGCAATGCAGGGGCTGAAGAGATGGTTCAATGATTGATTGTACGTGCTTACAATCAAGTTTATTCCCAGAATCCACATCAGGTGCTCTTAACTGCCTGTAACTCTAATTCAAGGGAATCCAACATCTACTGGTACCTCATGTGAGTTACCTACCAAGCCAGATTTACTGGCTTCTGCATAGTTTTCTGGCCATATTATCTTTTTTGGGAGGAGAGGGGAGACTTGAGACAGGGTTTCTCTGTGTAACAGTCCTGGCTGTACTGGAACTCGCTCTGTAGACCAGGCTGTCCTCAAACTTATACATCTGCCTGGCTCTGCCTCCTGAGTGCTGGGATTAAAGGCGCCACCACCCAGCGTGTACTTATTACCCTTCTAGTCCAAGCCACTATTCTTTGCCTTAATTACAACATCTTCCTTAACTATGCTCCCCAATTCTACCTTTGTCCTCCATCACTGCTTTCTCAATAGAGCTTGAGAAATGACCCAATTAAACATTAAATTGCATTATATCATGCTTTTTCTCCAGTGATTTCCCATCTCAGAATAAAAATCAAACTTCATCCTAAAACCAACAAAGCTGGAACATGATCAACCCTCTAATCATTCTGGTCTCCTGTGCTACTACCCAACCAATGTCCCCAAACATATCAGACATATTCTTACCTCAAGGCCTCTTGTGCCCTCCCCCAAGGAATGCTCTCCCTGTAGACATCCACCTGACTAGCTCCCTCACTTTACTCCTGGCCTTTACTCACCCTCAAGACACTATCCCTGGCTTTCATACCAAAAATGTCAATCCCTTATCTTTACTCTCTCCACCATATATACACAGATTACACCATCCCCTTTCTTCTTAGCACCTATCTAACCATGGATTACAATTCATTCATTTACTCGGTTTACTGTCTGTTTCCTATGCATTGTGGACTTTAGATGGCATAGATCCACTACCGTATCCTTAGTACCTAAAACAGCATCTGGCACTAAGTAGAGGTTTAATATTTGCCTAAGTAGATGAATGAATAAGCTTGGAATGATAGAGATTATGGAACAGGTTAACCAGGAACAGCTAACTGCAAACTAAGCATGGTGGTTCAAGTGTGTCGTATCAACACTAAGGAAGCTGATACAGAAGGACTGCCACAAATCAAGGCCATTCTGGGCACCCTAAAGCCAGCATGGAATACAGGTTAAGACCCTGTCTTAAAAAATAAATAAATAAAAAATAAGAGGGCTGGAGAAATGGCTCAGAGGTTAAGAGCACTGACTATTCTTCCAGAGGTCCTGAGTTCAATTCCCAGCAACCACATGGTGGCTCACAACCATCTGTAATGAGATCTGGTGATCTGGTGCCCTCTTCTGGCGTGCAAGCATATATGGATGCAGAATGTTGTATACATAATAAATAAATAAATCTTAAAAAAAAAAAAAGAAAAAGAAAAAAAGACAACAAAGAAACAGCTAACTGAAGATAAAGAGCCATATCTCAAGCTTCAAGGGAAGCCTTGCCTACCAGATGTCATCTGTAGATACATCAGTTCATGGTAAAATAGGCGGATAACCTTTACTTACCTGGATCCTTCCAAATTCACTATCTATGCTCAATCAATAAATTCTGGGAAAATGAAAATCACAAAGCTTGAAGTAAAATAATGGACTGCCTCCATATTATGGACTATAATTTAACAGAAAATGTCTTAGAAGGCAAATACCAGAATACATACTTAAAACTAGGATTTTAAAGTAATACTATGTGGACAAAAGAAATCAAGGGATCTTCTAAGCCTGACTGTCACTCATCAGACAATTGTATGATCATAATCTCCCAGAAACTATTTCTGGTATCCCTAACCATGTCACTCTTAACAAGTTGTTTAAAAAAAATTAAGCTGAGCACCTTTAATCTCAGGACTCAGGAAGCAGAGGCAGGCAGACGAGGGAGAGAGAGAGAGAGAGAGAGAGAGAGAGAAAGGAAGGGTGGAATGACAGAAAAGAGGGGCCTGGCCAGGAGTGATGTTATACAGGCATCATTAATTCTAGTACTTGGGAGAATCAAAAGTTAAAGGTTATGTAAGATTTGTTTCAACAAACAAAACAACAAATGACTGGGCTGGGTGTATAGAGGTATGGTACAGTGCTTGCCCTGTATTCATCTAAGGCCCCGGGTGCAATCTGAAGAACCATTTCTTTAAAAGGAGGAAGAGCAAACCCAAGAGTCAGATATGGTGGCACAGACTTGGAGACCCAGCTTTCAGGAGGCTGAGGTAGGACTACAAAGAGTTTAGTCCCTAGCCTGGGCCGCAGAGTAAAATCCTGTCTCAAACAATGACATTCAGGGTAGAATACTTTACTTGCCTAGCATGTGTGAGGGTCCTGGGTTCATTTCCCAGCCTTTGGGGGGTGGAGTGTATGGTCTACTATACAAATGTAAGAAATTACCAAATTCTTTAATTTTGTTCATTGTCTACTAGGAAAAATTCATTAGCACAATGTCCTTTTTGCAAAACTTTATACTGAGACTCTAGAGGGAAGGTGTGGCTCTGGGAAAATAGTTCAGAAGTAGTGTTTGCCTGGTATGTGCAAGGCCTTCATATGCAATATCCAATATCACACACACACACACACACACAAATGAATTGTTCTCAAAACAAAGCTGAATTATAAGATATCAGCCATAGGGTATTATTCTATAACAAAATAAAAATGATCACACAAATCAAGGCTTCAAACTAATCTTTAGTGACTGCTGATCACTGCTTCCCTGAGGTTGAGAATGACAGCAAAGGAACAAAAGGGTACATTTTAGGGGAATGAAGATGCTCCATTTCCTCAGAGGTGATTACGTGGCTGAATACCTGTCAAACCTAAGTCTAGAGATGTAATTCAGTTGACAGAGTGCCTGACAAGCAAGAGGACTGGATCCCTTGCAGGGCACACACAGGAAAATTAGAAGTTCAAGGTCTAGCCGGGCGGTGGTGGCACATGCCTCTAATCCCAGCACTCAGGGGGCAGAGGAAGGCGGATCTCTGTGAGTCCGAGAAAAAGTTCAAGGTCTAAATAGACGACAACATAGTTGAGATGAAAGCCAGCTTGGGATACATCAGACCCTGTCTCAGGAAGAAAAAAAAAATTATCTATTGCACAACCGTCTCAAAGAAATCTTGTGTAATGAGATTTGATCTGAAGAGCTAAGAAAAAGGGTTGAGAAATTTAGCTTAAAAGTAAAAGATTTGCCTAATATGGCCAAGGCCCAAGGTCAATCCCCAATACCTTTAGAAGTTTCAAAAATAAAAAATAAAGTGACGGAATATATAGTCAATGGCAAAAGGGGAAAAAATCATGGCTTCTAGGTCAACTCAAAATAGGGGAGGAAAATATCTAAAAAAAAAAAAAAAAGAAAGAAAAGAAATCAGGCCATCATCCTTTAACTCAGCACTCAGGAAGCAGAGGCAGGCAGATCTCTCTGAGTTTGAGGCCAGACTGGTCTACAAAGAGTTCCAGGACAGACAAGGATATATACAATGAGACCTGGTCTTTAACAACAAAAATCAAAATCAACTGGCTAGTTGGGAACGGGGATAGCAGGAATCTCGGCTCCACTGGAGAGAGTAGTCATTGGTTAAGAGCACAAACTACACTCTCAGAGGATCCAAGTTCAGTACCCAGAACCCACATTACTCCAGCTCCTGGGGTTCTGACCTTTGCAGGTACCAAAACACTGATGCACAAGCCCTCGTACACATAATAATTTAATTTTTTAATAAAAAAAAATTCTCGGCTTCTCCTCAAGAAAATAAAAGCCCCAAAGGTACTGTTTCCTAAGGCATACTTTCTGGAAAGTAAGGAGCAGTTCTGAAACGGTTTCGACTGGATTAGGCCGTTAAGTGTGTGTGTGTGTGTGTGTGGTGGTGTGTGTGTGTGTGTGTGGTGGTGTGTGTGTGTGTGTGTGGTGGTGTGTGTGTGTGTGTGTGGTGGTGTGTGTGTGTGTGTGTGGTGGTGTGTGTGTGTGTGTGTGGTGGTGTGTGTGTGTGTGTGTGGTGGTGTGTGTGTGTGTGTGTGGTGGTGTGTGTGTGTGTGTGTGGTGGTGTGTGTGTGTGTGTGTGGTGGGGGGTGTGTTGGGGGTGTGTGTGTGTGTGGGTGTGGATTAGGCCGTTAAGAGTGTGTGTGTGTGTGTGTGTGACCTTGAGGGTTCTCGGCCTTCGCGAGCCTCAGGTTCTCTATATGGAAAACGGGCCTCCGCGAGCCTCAGTCTCTCTATATGGAAAACGGGCTGATGGTCTGCCACGTGATCTAGCAAGTACTGCATTCATTAAGAAACGCACGCTGTCACCCGAGGCTGAGACTGCAGCCACGAGAGCCCGTGCCTGCCTCCCGGGAGGTCCCCCAGAGGGTTGCGGTCCCTTCCGGCGCGCCGCGCGACGGCTGCGCGTGGCCTCCACCCCTCACCCCGGCAGCGCGCGGCGGCCTCCCGCCTCCCAGGCCCGCCCCTCCCTGAGGAAGCGGGTAATATTGTAGACTCGCCCGTGGATCACCATCCACGTCTCCTCCGCGGAGTTTCGCTTCGCCACCTCCTCCAGCCGGTAGTACTTGACGGAGGGGTCGCAGCCCTCGTCATTCCCGCCGCTGCCGCAGGCCTCTGAGGTCGCCATTGGGTCCGAGTCCCTCTCTACCGCTATCTGGGGTTCTGCAGCGAACTTCCTTCAGGTCCGGCCCGCGCTTGTTCCTCGTCGGCTTCCGTAACCGGGTAAAGCCTGGTCCGACCTCCAGGTAACCAATCAGCGTCGTCCAGTCCTTCCAACCTTGCCAATCAGATACCGTGATTTTGGACCGGCGCCTAAACGTTGCCGGGTGACAGATGTCACCTCGGGAGAGGGTTCTCTTCGCTGGGCCCACAGGCAAACATAGTCCTGAAAGAACCGGGTCTCCAGAGTCTCTTTTCCCTTCCCTCCACCCTGGGTTCCCCGAGTCACCGGAAGCTCTATCTTCCCGAACAGAATTGCAGCCCCGGGTTGCTCTGGTTCCCCTTAGGCTCCAAACGGCTCCGCAATAAAAATGGGCGTGATGACCTCTACCTTCCTTTTGCAGACGCTTGACACACTAAATGGGAGTGTGTAAAGAAAGGTCTGAGCACACAGCAGTCGCTGTGTAAATTGCAGCTGGCTTTGGACACCAGGGCACAACACACAAGGACAGCACTTGGAGGCATGAGCAGATACCCCAAGTTTCCTCCACTACAAAAAAAAAAAAAAAAAAAAATGATCTCTGATGGAATCTTTCAGTGATCAGGACCTGTCAACACTATTTTAGTTTTTAAATGACCTAAAATGGATGCCAGGCGGTGGAGCCTAAAGGTGGTGCACGCCTTTATTCCCAGCACTCAGGAGGCAGAGGCAGGTGGATCTCTGTGAGTTGGAGGCCAGCCTGGTCTACAGAGTGAGTTTCAGGACAGGTTCCAAAACAATACAGAGAAACCCTGTTTCAGAAAAAAAAAAACAAAAACAAAAAACAAAACAAAAAAACTAAAATGGGACTTACTTCAGACCCCTGCCAGAAGTCTAGGTATTTCGGAATTCCAAGTTAAAGTTCAGGGTTGTGAACCTCTTATCTTTTTTGTTTGATTGGTTGTTTTTTCGAGACAGGGTTTCTCTGTGTAACAGCCCTGGCTGTCCTGGAACACACTCTGTAGACCAGGCTGGCCTTGAACCCACAGAGATCCTGCCTCTGCCTCCATTTCCCAAATACTAAGATTAAGTGTGTGTGTGACCACTTCTAGCAAAAAAAACAAACTCTGGAAGCTGAGGGTGTAAAAATACAATGCCTAATTAGCATGTCTGAGGCCCTGGGTTCAATTTCCAGCTCTGAACAAAAGAAAAAAATCCAAAGAAACCAGTTCTCCTCTGAAAGAAATGAAACATAGGCACACAGACACATATAATGTACCTTTCTCTCTCTCTCTCTCTGTGTGTGTGTGTGTGTGTGTGTGTGAGAGAGAGAGAGAGAGAGAGAGATTTAATTTCTAAAAGAGATTATTGCCAAAAGCAGTGAAAACAAGCTCTCTGCACATATTTGATAGCTCAGAAGGAACCTCAGTACATGCGAATCTTCTGAGGATTCTCTGCCGCACATGCAGAGACCGGTAGGTACGGATATAGAGCCAGAAATTGACATTTTTAGCAAGTGTTTCCCTTGTTTTTCATGCAGTTTGTCTGTGAACAGTGTTGAAAAACACTGAATTTTAAATCATGATAAAAATACCTTTATCATCCATATGATGATTTAATTAAAGTTCTCTCATCATTTCCTTTCTACCTCCAATAGTGTTTTTTGTTTGTTTTGGTTTTGTTTTTGTTTGTTTTTTCCAGACAGGGTCTCTGTAGCATTGGAGCCTTTCCTGGAACCCTTTTTGTAGACCAGACTGGCCTCGAACTCACAAAGATCTGCCTGCCTCTGCCTCCCCAGTGCTGGGATTAAAGGTGTGCACCACCACTGCCCAGCATAATGTTTGGTGTCTTTAAAAAGGATAGAATGGGGGCTGGAGAGATGACTCAGAGGTTAAGAGCACCGACTGCTCTTCCAGTGGACCAGAGTTCAATTCCCAGCAACCACATGGTGGCTGACAACCATCTGTAATGAGACCTGGTGCCCTCTTCGGGTGTGCATGCATGCAGATAACTGTATACACAATAACATGCAGATAACTGTATACACAATAAATAAATAAGATCTTTAAAAAAAGATAGAATGGGAGAAACTCTGTCGAAGGGAGAGGTGGAAGATGTTCCTCTGGAAAAGGAAAAGTAGGTCTTTCCCTGAGGGAAAGACGGATTTTTAAAGCTATCACAGTCCATCATTCTCTTTTTTCCTTCCCAGGGCCAACCTCTGAGAAGTTCTTTGGGAAGTTTGTTATTGCAAAGCTAGGAACCTTTATCCTCTAGCCTGGTCATCAGCATTCTGTGGCAAAATTCGCACCCTCAGATCAGCCTGCTTTCCCCTACTTTTTATCTGGGGAAAGCTCTGGACAAACAGGCACTAATGAGGATGTTTTCCTCTTTGAGTTCAGCTGCCTAGCATCAGAACCTCATTCTTCCTCCTTCCAGGGTTGTCAGTTTGTTTTTAATTGGTAATAAGTATGTTCACATTTCAAAAATAAACATGGACTGGAGGTGTGGCTCTGTGACAGAGCATTTGCCTAGCACACACAAAGGCCCATATTCAAGCTGCAGCAAAAGGGAAAAAAAAAAGAAGTAAAAATAAGTGCACATTACCAGCCTCTCACTTCTATACGACAATTAAAAGAAGCAAATAAAAAATGAAAAGCAGAAAAGTAGCCACGCCTACATAGGGCCTGGCTACAGAAGAAGATGCATTCAATGTGGCCACACTGGGAAGAGGGACAAAGATCTAGTGAACCCCGCCCCCATTCCATCTGCTGGGTCCTCACATGAAGCTGAGATGTAAGTAGATGTCCAGAGTAATGTGTATCTATTCAGTCCAGGTTAAGGCGAGGTCCCACCCATCAATGAGCTTCAGTCTCATCCTGCAAGGTGGTATGGCAAGTATTAGCACTGTGAAATCTCTCTGGGAGACAAGTTGTCCTGGTGACTAGGGTTTCTGTTACTGTGATGAAACACCATGGCCAAAATCAAGTTGGGGAGGAAAGGACTTGTTTGGCTTACACTTCCATGTTATAGAGAGAAGTCAGGACAGGAACTCAAGCAGGGCTGGAACCTGGAGGCAGAAAGTGATGCAGAAGAAATGGAGGGGTGCTGCTTACTGGCTTGTTCCTCATGGCTTGCTCATAGAACCTCTCTTATAGAACCTGGGACCACCAGGCCAGGGATGACACCACCTGCAGTAGATTGAACCCTCCCCCATCAATCACTAATTAAGAAAATGTTCTACAGCATTGGTTCTCAACCTGTGGGTCATGACCTCTTGGGGGGAGGGGTCAAACAACCCTCTCAACCCACAAGGTTGCTTATCAGATATTTACATTATGGCTCATAACAGTAGCAAAGTTGCAATTATGATACAGCAATGAAAATAACTATGGCTTGGGGTCACCACAATATAAGGAACTGTATTAAAAGATTGCAGCGGTAGGAAGCTTGAGAACCACTGATGGTCAGGCTTGCCAACAGTCCAGTCTTTTTTTTTCTCCAAGACTGGGTTTCTCTGTGTCCTGGAACTCACTCTATAGACCAGAATGGCCTCAAACTTGGAGATCTGCCTGCCTCAACCTCCTCAGTGCTGGGATTGAAGCCTGTGCCACCATCACCTGGCCATCAACAGCCCAGTCTTATGGAGGCATATTCTCAGTTGAGATTCCCTCCTCTCCAATGACTATAGCTTCTCCCTCTTAAAAAAGCTTCTGCCTTTTTCTTCCCAAAGCACTGAAGTCCTGGGAGAAATTCCAATTCCCTGGAATGCCTTGTTTCATAGTCTGGCAGGCTACTTCCTCGTCTATGCTCTACTTCTTGAAGGTTTCACAACTTCCTCAAATTGCACCACCACCAAGTGTTCCAAAACGTGAGCCTATGGGGGACATTTCATAATCAAGTGATAGCATCCTGTCTCAGAATATCTTTTAATTCTTAAACATTTATTTCTCTCTGTATGTATATATGTACATATACATGTACACATGTGGGCATGCATTTGTCACTGTTAGGTCAGGTGGTGATGTGTGGTAGTTGGTTTCTCTCCTTCTATCATGTGGGTTCCAGAGATCCAATTCAGGTCATCAAGCTTGCTAACAATTGCTTTTACCACTGGATAAGTCATCTTGCTAGTCCCCAACTTAAAAAAAAAAAAAGAGCAGAGCTAAGAATATAGCTTAATATTAAAGCTTTCAACTAGTGAGTGTGAGGCCCCAGGTCCCAGTCTCAGGGCTGAAAAAAATTAGAATAGATGTTGAGGTGAAACTGTTACTTTGAGGGCTTGAGAGATGGCTCAGAGGTTAAGAGCACCGACTGCTCTTCCAGAGGTTCTGAGTTCAATTCCCAGCAACCACAGAGGGGCTCACAACCATCTGTTATGAGATCTGGTGCCCTCTTCTGATGTGCAGATATACATGGAAGTAGAATGTTGTATACATAATAAATAAATAAATAAAATCTTAAAAAAAAAAGAAAATGTTACTTTGAATCAGTGATGAGCCAGGTGGTGGCGGCACATACATTTAATCACAGCACTCCAGAGGGAGAGGCAGGAGAATCTCTGAGTTCAAGGACAGCCTGGTCTACAGAGCTGTCAAAACAACAAGAGACACACAGAGAAATCCTGTTCCAGAAACCAAAAATAAATAAATAAGTCTGTGAGAAAAGGTGGCCTTCTTTGGTGCTTGAACAACCTAATAATAATTAAATCTTTCCCATGAATTTTTCTGAAGAAACCATTAAGCTAAAATCCAAACATAATCAAAGACTTGGACATAACACAAGAAAAAGTAATTAACACAATTGTGCTAACTCAGAGTTAGGAAACATGGAAACAGTGGGCTGAGAAGGTGGCTCTGCGGGTAAAGTTCTTGCTATGCAAGCATGAGGACCTGAGTTTGGAACTCATGTAAAGACAGACCCTATGAGAACATGCCTGTAACCCCAGCACTGAGGAGTGGAGACAGATTCTAAGTACTCACTGGCAAGCCATTATGATCTAAACATGAGGTTCCAGGGTTAGTGAGAGACCCTGTCTCAGTAAATAAGGTTGGGAAAAATAGAGGACACCTG